TTAATATGTGGTTATTATGTATGTTTCTGCGTAATTAACAAAAACGTGCATTCCGATTCTTTTGTCTAGGTACTGTACGTCAAAAAAAGAAAAATGGTCAGTGCATAGGTAATATGGTTATTTTGATTATCATACCTTTGAATGAAAAACAGAATATGTATAATATAAATTTTGTTTATTTTGATTATGTCTTAAAGTCCGTTTTTAAACTTCGTTTTAACTTTTAATATTTTATTGAGAAGTGAAATGGATTCAAGTCGTATTTATAATACTCACCAAGAAACATATCGTGTTTTTTTTCACCAATAGAACGGTCTTCGAACCTGCTAGAAATTTTTATGAAATTTAGTAATAAGGTTTGTCTAAACAACAAAGTTGGAATTCTATAGAACAATTAACTTGCGTAATCTACACCCTCATTTTCATTCGAATATTTTTATAATCAGTTGTGGGGGGAGTCAACGCTTATTTTTCTATAATAATTTAACATTTAAGCGTTTTTCTATGGGTGATCTTGATAAAATTCACATCAATCATGTTAGCCTTTTGGTTCAAATGAAATACAGTGATTAAGAATTTAGAAAACGTCTCACGAATTACACGAACAGATTTCCGAGTATATATGATTTATTCTCTATGGGCGATCTATTGTCTACGCCGACCCTAATTATTTATGAATTTTATCTGATAGGTAGGGATCCGGAATCTTGGCACTTCTCATAGACCCTGAAATGTTTAAAAAAAATAAGCTTAATCGTTTTTATACAACAACAATAGATGCCTCTTATTTATTTGTAAAACAGAGAAGATTAATATGCATTTTCAGATAAGAAATATTTATTATAATAACATCAAAAATTGGCCGTGCCAGCTTCGCTATTTTTATATACGATTAAATAATTGTATACTATTATTTTTAGAATGTAAATGATAGGTCCATCAAAATCCGGATCAAGAATGCAATTAACTTTTTGCGTTCCTACTTTAGGCTTGACTATTTTTTCTTGCCAAGAATGATCGGCGTTATAATTTATAACGCGCACGTGTTTTTTTACATTTTGAATAAATCTATTTTTTATACATATAAAAAAATATTATCGAACATGGAATCCGAATTAAATTTATTAAAACAAGAAAATTCCAGGCTTATGGCTAGAGTCAAAGAATTAGAACAGACCGCTAAAGAAAAAGAAGCGCTTGAAATTAGAATTGCGGAATTAGAACATGCTGTGGAAGAGAATACTCAGCTTAAGGTCAAAGTAACTAAATTGGAATATGATTTTGAGGAAATCAAAAGGCGAACCCAAATCATTACTAATATACAGGAAGCAAAGATTCAAATCCCCGATCCATCAGAACCAGAAGCGAGTTCTCTACCTATTGGAGACTGCTCTGACAAAGAAACTTCATTTCACCGCGAAACAAATGACTCTGTAACTTCCGAGCAGATAGAAAATACATCTGATAGCGCACCTTCAACCCCTGTAGAATGGGTTGAGCCCAGAGTTTCCGACTTAACTAAATCGTTGGAAGATAAAAAGATTAATGATTTTCTGGATCTAACGGAAAAGGAAAGGGTTAGTAATATGATGAAGGAGAGAAACAGAGAAAAGAAGATTCAACGTACTATTTCTTCCGAAATAAATTCTACAACTGAGATTTCCCAAGATACTATTCCTTCCGAAATATCGAAAATTCCCTATAACCAGAAAGTAGAACAAGGTTTAAGGGATGAATTATCCGTTTGCGTCAAAAACGATAATAGTGAAATTAATAATGTATTTGATATACATATTCCCGAATTCTCTTTAGAAGCAATTATAAAAGGATCTGGTAAAGTTACATCACAAACTATAGTTGATTTATTTAATATTGCTATGAAGACTTTACAAAAGGAGATTTTATGCTGGTGGGTCTGTTTCATTTCGTCGACAATCATTTCGTCGAAAGTTTACTTCGTCGAAAGTTTGTTTCGTCGAAAATTGTTTCATCGACAATCACTTCGTCGACAATCACTTCGTCGAAAGTTCATTTCGTCGACAGTTCATTTCGTCGAAAATTATTTCATTTCTACAACAATTCATGTTAATTTGCATGTATTACAGTGTCACCAATTATGTTTGAATTAATTGATGATAACAATTGTTTATTATGTTAATGTGGATCAGAATGAATAGGTTTACTAACATATTAGTTTAATTAGTGGATAATTTTGGTTTAAAAAGATAATAAATGTTTATTTATTTTATTTAGTCGAAACTAATTAAAGATTTAGAAGAGAACGATCATGTGAGCTATGTTTTAACACAAAATTTTAATCCATGTAATCATTGATTTACCAATCAAAATTGTGAATTTGATAACGTAAAAAAATAAAAAAAAATAAATGAATTATTTAGAGTTAATAAAAATATTCGACAAATGGTTCAAATTTAAGAATTTGGAAGAAAGCATGCAACAAACCTTCAAATAGTCTAATAAATTAAATTGTACTACTCGAAGATGTATTTAAAGGGTTGGTTTTCGACTTGGTCGAAAAACAACTCTCTTTC